TCTCCCTATTTATTTCAAAAACCCCCTTGCCCTCCCCGTTTTTTGATGAAGGGTCTAGGCCCGAAACGTCAGCCTCTCTGCTCCTATGATGCTGCTTAGCCTGCTGTGTTCATCCAGCCCTGCACCTTGTTGTCTCGGATTCTCCAGCATCTGCAGTTCCTACTATCTCTGCCATACCTCCTCGTCTTTTACCTATCCTATTTTTACTAAAAGCCTTAAACTCAGGATGTTAAAGGCCTAGTCCTGTTCTGGCTTGAACCATGTTTCAGTCAATGCTACTATGTCATATCCCCCAGAGCAATTTCTGCTTCCAGTTCACCAATTTTGTTTTCCCAATTTACTTACTTACAATTTAATCCTGCCCTTACCTCTTCTGTGTCCATCGGAAGGAACCGTTTCCTTGCTCAATGCCAACATTCAGGTCTTCTCTCGCCTCTTTCTCCCTGTTTGCCATCTTCTCTCTTGTTCCCTCTCTGGTAGTTCCAAAACTAGGCCCCTTAGTCAACTTGCCCCCCTACATTACAAGTTTAAATCCACCCCCACCACACTATTTGCTGTCTCAGCCAGGAGGTTAGTTCCGTTTCTCCAGGTGAAGCTGATCACTTCTGAACAGCTTTATCCTTTTTTCCAAAAGTCATCCCAATGTCCCACAATCCTAAACCCCTTTCTTCTACACCATCCCTCAATCCACACATTTACTTCCTTGATCTGCCTTTGCCTAAATGGTGAAACTTGTGGCATAGGTATTATCTCTGAAATTACTGCCCTGGAGAATCTAATTTTAAACCTACTCCCTAACTCCTGAAACTGATCCTGCACATTCCTCCATGCAATCCCTCCCTATGTCGTTAGTTTCCACGTAAACCACAACCACCGGTTATCCACCCTTCCTTCCAGAAGTTTGTCCAGCTATTTTGTTACGTCCTGAGCCCTTGCATCTAGGAGGCAACAGACATACAGGATTCTCAAACTCGGCTGAAAACTAGACAGTGTATTCCTTGAGCTATTGAGTCACCCACTACTACTACCTCATCGGCCTACCAGCCCCTCTCTTTTCCTAGAATAGCCTCAGGCACCATGGTACTGTGGTTTTCCCTCTACTCATCCATACCAACTCACTCGTGTTGTTCACTAAATAGGCATCTGAAATTTCATACCTGTTAGACAGTTACAAGAAGTCCTGGGTTTCCCGGACATTCTGTCTTGTTTCCTTCTAGCAAAAAGTCAGTTACTCACCTGCTATCTCTGCATTCCTCGTTGCCTGCCGATCACAATGTGGAGTGACCACTCTCGAGAGTAACTGTACTGATGTCAAAATGTAGTGTGATTAATTGTATGTTTGATCTTTTGGTAGGATTCATGGTCTGAAGTCTGGAAAAACACTGAAGGAATTTAGAGGTCATACATCATTTGTTAATGAGGTAACATTTACACAAGATGGACATTACATTTTGAGTGCATCATCGGATGGTAGTGTAAAGGTATGTAAATAATATTAGTGAACATGATGCATGTTAGTGAAAAATATGTAAGTGTGAAAACCTTTACCGTCTGGTTAACATGTGTGCTACTAGGCAAGGATGTTACATGCTTCTGGTGTTGGAATTGAGAAAATATAGCTAACATTTTAAAATTGACTCTAAATTATCCATATTCTTTTATTCAAATCATTGGAATTGTTCATTGTAAAGTTTGTGCGATCTACGTGGGTGTCACAAAAATGAGCACCATAAATGTTCAACATTATATTTCCATGTGCTGAATCAATAAAAGTTTGATATATTTTGAGTCAAATGAAATATTTTTATCACCTCACTTGCAGATCTGGAACGTGAAAACAACAGAGTGTGCAAATACCTTCAAGTCATTGGGCAGCTCTGCTGGTACCGATATCACAGTGAACAGCGTACACCTGCTGCCAAAGAATCCTGAACATTTTGTAGTGTGTAACCGGTCAAATACAGTAGTCATTATGAATATGCAGGGCCAGGTATGGCAAGACACTAGTTTACTATTGTGATTTGCTTTCAAAGGAGTAAGAATAACTCCCATGAATAACTCCCTTTTCTTCACTCCTATGAAGGAAGCTTACATAGCTTTATTAGTTGTTACTTGAATTCAAATCTAAGCATTTAAGATTTGTAATAGGATGATGGGTTGCTTTTTAAGAAACTATCACTGGATACTTTTTGAATATTAGAAATGCAAGTCATCACTTTTGGAGGCTGAAAATCATCCTAATTTTTAGTTATTCAGAAAATTTTTGAGCAAAAGTTTGAGAGGAGGGTTATAGCATGTTTTGAGTTTTCACTTAAATCTCAACTTCTATCTTTTCTGCTGGGCTTTTCCTTGGATTTGATTGTTTCTCATAAATTGATTCATTAAGAAAGGCGGTTTTGAAAAGCTGGTGTTCAAATGGCTCTGCTAACTTCTTAGTATTGACTGGTTTTGTGTAGGAAAAAAATAGCCAGTTTGTCACAAGGATGGATGTCTCTCAACCCTTGAGGAGATATGCTTTAATGGGAGAAAAGTAATGAGAAAGCAGAAGCATTGTGGTTAATATGGTGTGTTTAGAAAGAAAACCGCAAGCCAATTGACAAATTACTTGGGAGAAGTTTGAAGTTATAAACTAAAATCATTATAAAATCTTAAAATTCAGGAGAAACCTCTTTGCCCAGTGCATTTTAACACTGGAATCACTATGACAAGGTTTAATTGAGGCAAATAGTGCAGCTGCATTTAGGAGGAACCTAATTAAGTACAAGTGAGGAAGGAATAGAAAAAAATATACTGATGTTTGGAAGAGGGGATAGGGTAAACTAAATGGACCACATTTGTTTCGAGTCATGGATATTCTGTGAAATGATCTAAATGGAAAGGCACACAATCAGCTGGTATTGTTTTAAAATTAGTATGAAAATTGAGGTTTTAGAAGTTGTCATTACTTGTTTTAATGATGATTTTCTTTTGGTGTAATGGTTCTTTAATCAAAAGGTCTTCCAAGGATGAGAATTACATTCTCATGGAAAGACTAGAAAAGTTCTCCTTAAAACAGAAAAAGCAGAGAGATTTGATGGAGATCTTTAAAACCTTGAGCACTTTTTAGAGAGAAGAAATAAGGAGACAACTATTTCTTGTGTCTGGAATGTCATTAACTATGCAGTTATACAAAACTCAGAATAATTGTATACCATGAGGAGGGCAGTGTAGAACTCAAAGACACAGACAAGTTGGTGGAGTGGGCAGATAGGTGGCAGATGAAATCAATGCAGAGAAGTGTGAGGTGATGCATTTTAGTTGGAAGAGTGTTGAAAGACAATGTAAAATCAGGAGTACAATTCTGAAACAGGTGCCAGGCCAGAAGGACATGGTGTATATGTGTACCAATATTGAAGGTAGCAGTACAGGTGAGCAGAGCACTTAATAGTGTGTATTGTGAATGAGGCGTATTGTGTGTTTGGCTTTAATTATACAGTCATAGGGTACAAGATCATTGAGGTGATGTTCAACTTGAACAAGGCAGTTATTAGACCTCAGCTGAAATATTATGTATATTTCTGGCTGCCACATTATAGGAAGGATGTGAGTGCAGAGACAATTTACAAGAATGGTTCCAAGGATGAGGAACTTTAACTATGAGGAGAGATTGAAGAACTTGGAACAGTTCTCTTCAGAGAGGAGTTCTGATAGAGGTTTTAATAATCATGAGCGAGCTGGATAGAGTAGAAAAGGAAAAACTGGTCCTACACTTAAAGAAACAAAGTGAGAGGGCATAGCTTTAGACTGATTTGCAAATGCAATGTGAGAAAAAAGATTTTCACATGGCGATTAATCGTGAGATGGGATGTAGAATCAAAGAATCCCTACTGTGCAGAAAGGCCTCTCAGCTCATTGAATCTGCATCGACTCTCAGAACAACATCCCATTCAGACCCACCCCCCAACACTGTTCCTGTAGTCCAACATTTACCATGGCTAATCTACCCTAGCCGCCTTATATACTACCTGGAAGTGTAGTGGAGGCAGGTTCAACTGAGACATTCATGAGGGTGTTAGATTATTATTTGTTTAGAAATAATGTGTAGGGATATGGGGAGAGATGCAGGAGATTGGCACGAAATAATAATGCTTGTTTTAAGAAGTGATGTAGATATGATGGACCAAATGGCCTCCTGAATCACACAAGTGCTGCCATGTATAAGATTTCAAATTGAGCCTCCTGCTCGGTCTGCAATTATAACCAATTTTGTGTTACAGATTGTGAGGAGCTTTAGCTCTGGTAAAAGAGAGGGAGGTGACTTTGTGTGCTGCTGTCTGTCTCCACGTGGTGAATGGATCTATTGTGTTGGTGAAGACTTTGTGCTGTACTGTTTCAGTACAGTGACTGGAAAGCTGGAAAGAACATTGACGGTGAGAGATAATAATGTATATTTTTTATAAATCCAAGTGCTATTAAGTTCCGTCTTGCTGATTATTTCTAGCAGCAGTTTAGTGAGAGTTTTTCTAAGCCTTTTATTTTGGTTTAGATTAGGGTACATCTATCATCTGTTTCATTTTACAGGTTCATGAAAAAGATGTTATTGGAATTGCTCATCATCCACATCAGAACTTGATTGGCACCTACAGTGAAGATGGTCTCCTTAAACTCTGGAAACCTTGAAGGAATAGTACTAATGGTTTTGTTTTTTAAACCTTTATCTACTGATAGCTATAACTGAAAGCTTTCTCTAGAATATCCTGTTTTGTACAATTTTAAACCACCATTTTGGTTTCAAAAAACACATTCCTTATTGCAGGTGTATAATGTTTGACATCGATTTGCTGAACCTCAGTTAAGGCATGTAATTAATGCACATAGTAACAGGTTCTGCAGTGTCTTTAGGGTGTTTTTGTTGAAGAGCCAAGATCATTGTAGAGTTCAACAGCAAGGAGTTTTAAAATAAATGCAACATTTTGAAGGTGACCAGACTCATTTAAGTGCAGTGATTTCTTTTATTTTCTGTAAACATGAAGATTTTGCTAACTGTTAGAATTTCTGTGCACCAAATCTAGACAGCATTACACAAACCTTACAACACCCAATTCAACTTATTAACCTCCGAATAAGCAATGCAAAAGCTGCATTTCACAAAATAGTTGTTACTATTAGTGGTTTGTGCTGTTTTGTTATTTTCATTCCCCAACAAGTGGAACCCAGTGTCTACTTTGTCAAGTCTTTAGAATCTTGAGTGCTTCAGGGTCACCTCATTCACCACCTGACAGAACAATGCTCTCGTTCTACTGAACCTTCAGTGTACTTTCTCAAATTCAAGCATATCCTTGGAGACCTGAAATTGCACAGTATTCCAAGTGTAGTTGCAAAACCCTAGTCACAGCAACACTTCCTTATTCTTATGTTTGAATTAATTTGTAAGGAATGTATGGTATTTGCACAAATATTGCAAAAGTCTCTTTTGGATATCATTAAATTGCTCAAAATACCCATGAGAATTTTCACATGCTTCTTCTACCATTTCATCTGCTCGTCTCTCCTTTGCAGTCCTCAGTTTACATGCCCAACTAACTTTGTACATATTGTAATTTTCTTTGTCATTAACATATTGCAAAACTACTGTATTCAGTCTAATAATCCTCATCAATGTTAGTATCACCAACTCATTACACTTCTCTAAGTATACTACTTGTTTATGGGATGTGGACAATGCTGCCTAGGCCAGGATTTATTGCTAGTCCTTGAGAAGATAGTGGTGAACTCCACCTTTGAAATACTAGTGTTAGGAGTGTGTGTTCCAGGAATGGTGACATAGTTCAAGTCAGAATAGTGCTTGCTTGGAAGGAAACTTGTTTGTGGTAAAGTTCAATGTGTCTGCTGTCTTTGAGGTGATAGAGGTCATTAGTCTGGAAGGCACTGTTTAGGGAACCTTTGAGTTGTTGCATCTTGTAGATTGTATAGAATACAATAGCAGATGGAGTGAATGCAGTGCCAGTCAAGCAGGCTTTCTCCTGCACAATGTTGAACGATCGAGTGTTCAATTTTCACTTGGCAGTTGTGAATAGGACTGAACATGGCACACTCCATAACAGAAGGAAGGTGATTGAAACTCAAACATTAGGGCTTTAGTCAGTAGCCTGAAGAGCTCTGGTAATTTAAACATTTTATGATTAGTAGGAACTGCCAATGCTGGAGAATCTGAGATAACAAGGTGTAGTGCTAGATGAACACAGCAGCAAAAGGAGCAGGAAAGCTGACACAAAACGTCAACTTGCCTGCTCCTCGGCCTGCTGTGTTCATCCAGCTCTACACCTTGTTATATCTATCCCCTTTTTGTGCTAGCTGCGACTAGTCAGTAGAGTTAGTCCATATTTGGACCAACATTGTAATAACGCAGGTCACTGGATTTGATAGAACCTCATAAACTTACTTTTAAGCACTACTTACATCTACTGGTTCTACTTTACCCATCATAGTATAGGTAATTCCATTTCCAAATCTTCCAAGTCACCCTATTTAACTTTAAAATAAACATTAATTGGACTGGAAAACTAGAGTTGTTTATAAGCTGTATATTGTATTACCTGACTCAATTGGTGCTATTTGGCAGAATTTCACCAGAGGTCATATCACTGCCCACCAGACCTCAAACTCTAGCAGCTCTTTGAGCCCGTTCTGCTATTCAGTACACTCAGCTGACTGTTCAGTATCCTGTTCCTGCTTTTGCCTCGGGCTCAGCTGCTTTGTGGCAGAATTCCACAGGCTCAGTGTCTAGCTGAAGAAACTTCTCATTTTCCTCTTATCTACTCTTCTGTATGTTTGGAATTTTGACCCTGGTTCAGGACTCCCTTGGTCATCAGGAACACACTATTTATCCTGTCCAATCCAGTATGAAAATCTATAAAGTTCATGAGAACCCTCATTTTTTCTGTCTGATACACAGCAGAATCTTGACTATGGCATATTAATTTAACTAACATTCACAAAGAGTCTCAAGTGAAATTAGCCCCCAAAAGCATAATTTTATTTAAATACAAGTTTGTAGAATACACCAATAAACATTACACAAAAAGCATCATTCAATAACAGCAAATGCAACCATAGATGTTAAACATATACAATGATTTGAGGTTGCAGTCTCAAGTCTTCCACAAACAAAAGCACAATTTGAAGTCATACAGAAGGCTTGTTTTTATGAGGTCTGACACTGAACTCCAGTTCTGGGGTGATCATCCTCGTCATCGTGATATGCTTCACCATTGTAGCGTTGCCTTGACTGTTGTGGATCAAAGTCTACCAAATCTACTTGTTCCATATCGTCAGTGATGTCAACCTCATGTCGTGCAGGGAGCAACTTTTCTAGAAGAGCTAATTTATCTGTTTGAATAGAGCCATTCGGAGGAAAATTCACCTAAAATAAGTAAGTGTTAACAGCATAGGTAAATTTGATTTTAGAAGAAGTTAGCCATCATTTTTGTTAAGACAGGCCACATCTACAGTAAGGTATATACACAACACCTTTTTACATCAAAATGGTCAAGTGCAATACACCTTCTGAAGCAATCACTGAACTTCAATCAATTTTTGGTGCATTGCTTGGGAGAAATTTTGGCTCAGGCCACAGTAGTTCCTGAAGCTTCAAAGTTGTACAAGAGTTCCCAATACTTTTAGCAGGCAAAAGCTTAACACATTTGCCCTGTAGTAACAAAAGTATTCTCATGGCCCAGAAGTAATACTATGTACCACATTTGTGTTTAGGGGTAACCTGAAGCAATAAAATCACCAGTAATACATGCTTGATCTCAATTCCCACAATAAAAAAATTACTTTTACCCTAGTAACACTAAGAACTGGCATCACAAACTTCAAGGAAGCTCTGATATTGCTTAGACAGGATAAGACTCAATTGCAGTTTTGCTTCATAGATTCAAGAGCAAGTGTTTTCAATTCTTCAGGTATTTTAGACATGTGGAATAGACTGCACACGTGTGTCCAGGCAGATTGATCACCAAGGTCAATTCTGGTTTGGGCTATAAATCTTGGAATTTTTTTGGGGATGAATTCATATAACATGATAATTATCAATTACCAATATCAAAGGTTTACATTTCAATCTCATCCCAAAAGCAATATGGATATAGCAAAGCAAGTTGTATGCAGCTTTAAAAGATGTAACACCTGATCTCACTAAAATGGAACAACCAGCAGATGTGCTGACAGAAAAAAATTGTAAGCTAGTCTAGTAGGATACATTAAAAGAAGCCTTTTGAAATAAAGATTGATAGTTGGAATGCACACCTGCACTCAACTTTACTTACAATTTAGGAATTGAGAAAGCAAGCATTCACCTCAAACGCTTCTCAGTGTAAGTTCTGATGCAGAGGTGGTGGTGTTAGACTGGAGTGGACAAAATCAGAAGTCACAATACCAGCTAACCTGGTGTCATGTGACTTCTGCATTTTTAAAGTTCAAATTTGCATTGTTTATACATTTGCAATCTATTAAACTCCAAAGCAAAGGCTGACGAAGTTACTGACTAGTGCATAACAAGACATACTGCATACCTTGAACTGGATGATTAGACGACCTTTTTCATATGGCCTGCGATAAATCGGCATACCCTCATTCAGCACACACTTGATATCTCCATGTTTAACAATATGGCCTGTCACAAATCCAAGAAACATCATTTAGGAAAACCATGTTAAAAATATCCTTTTCTAGGAGAATTTTCTTTTTAGGATCACAAATGTAACAGAACATTGCCCATTTCAGCTAGTGAAAGAATTCCTTTTATTCCATCTCAAAAGAGCATTCCTTACAACAATTTAGTTCACTATTTTCTGCTCCAACACTGTGACAAAGCAAGTTTATGCATTAAAACCATTTATTAGTTTACAAAGGAAAAAAAAACCATATAAACAAGACAGTTGTTAAGTGTACTACCAAACAGTACTCAAATCTTTACCCAAAGTATACTTACCAGGGTGTGATGTAATGATTATTGTTCTTTTATCCAAAGTGGTGATCGGGCGATGGAAACCACAGAGAGCCTCCACCAGCTCCAGTTCCATATGCATAACAAGGTCTTCACCTTGCCTAAAGCAAAATAAAGAAAATTAGACATGCGAAAAGATATCACTAAAGCAGACAAGATCAGCTATTATCCTTTGAAAAGGCATTACCTAGTGAAGACACTGTGATCTTTTTGATCTAGGACAATGATGATATCTCCAGGTTCCAATCCAGGTTCCTGGTCACCTTCACCATGGAATGTTAGCTTCTGGCCATCCTTCATGCCTTCGTTCCACAATAAGAAAGGAGAATGTTAGACTGGAAGCTCGCCAAAAACATTCCTTTTTTTCAAAACACCTTGAAAACCTATTCTTTAGGACGTGAAAGCTGCAAAAGACAAATGCAGAGCTTCACAGAGATAGATACATTTTGGAGGGGACAGGAGGCAAATTGTCAGTACTCAAAGTAGACAGTTTAAATCCTACACTAAGGTTTCAGGTCATGACAGTGAACATTTCAAAACTGAATGTGCTGTTGCTCAGATACTCATACAGCAAGCTCTCAACCAAAGAATTGGTCCAACTGGCCCATCCCCAACATGTCTGGATCAATCAAGAGCAGACTTCGTTTAATTCCAGCAGAACAAGTTTTTTAAGCATTTAACCAAGGCACGTCAAATACAATTATAATTTATAACTGTGTAGCTTCAGGAGTATTGAAAAGGAATGGATTGGGTTGATATTGGAAGTGCAAAACCTTTGATGTGTTGCATAGTTTAAAACTTACAATCTCAAAGTATCAACACAGATGCAAAACAAGCTCATCCCAGCCTCCGTCCAGGTCATCACCACAGCAAAGTTTGAATTCAATTCCTGTTCTGCGCAAAGATATCAGCCAGAAAGGAAAAAGTCTCTTTCACGGTTTCAAACCTACCATTTACTATTGTATCATCATAC